CCACCGAAACGTTGACGGAGGTGGGTTTACCGATGGCCTTGTCCATGGTCTTCTGCACGAAATGCAGGGGGATGCCGTCGTGGCCGACCACGCAGGCAAAAGAGTCGCCCCGTTGCCAGTCGGCTGCCGGCACGCTCAACTTGCTGTAGACCGTGTAGGTGTCTCCTTCTTTCTGAGGGCCAAAGATGGAGAAGCTGTCGGGGGACACGGGACGATCCTCTTGGGTCCAGGTCACCAAGATGTCACGGGGGCGGAAACCCAAGGCCAGACAGGTCAAGGTGGCCGTTTCCTGACGGGCCAACTCCTCAGCCGGTGGGGGGAAGACGTAGACGGAGGGCGCCTTCACGGAGACGTCTGCGGGGGGGGCGCAAGAGAAGGTCAAGGGCGGTGGGAGGGACAGAGCTCGCCCGGTGGCCTGACTTCCTCCAGTAGGCTGGCCCTCCCAGTGAGCTAGACCTTTCCAGTAGGCTAGACCCTTCCAGTAGACTGGCCTTTTCCTGCAGACTAGCTTAAGTTGGCTTTCCCAGTAGGCTAGACCCTTCCAGTAGACCAACCTCTTCCAGTAGACCCTCCCAGTAGACCTCTCCAGCGGACAAGACCCTTCCAGTGGACAAGTTCCTTCCAGTAGACTAGACCCTTCCAGCAGGCCGGCCCAGTTGACTCTCCCAGTAGCCCCAGGTTCTCCAGCTAGACCCTTCCAGTTGGCTAGCCTCTTCCAGTAGACTCTCCCAGTAGACTAGCCCAGTAGACTCAACTTTTCCAGCCAGCTGCTTCGACTTGCCCAAAACTGCTCTTCCCTTGCTGAAACCCTTTTCACCGAGCTTCTCGGTGGACACCATGTCGGAAAGAAGCCCATCACCTCCCACGCCGGGACTCGGAGGGCGGGACGTGGGGCGGGAGAGAAGGGGCGGGCTCCTACCTATGTCTTTCTTAATAGACCTGGTGATGGGTTCTTGGATCTCGGGGATTTTGACGGTGCAGGTGAACTTCTCCCCGGAGTTCCACTCATCGGCGCAGATCTTCAGGGTGCTGGTGAGGCGGTAGAGACCGTTCTCCAGCTTCTCTGCTGGCCCTGAGGTCACATCCAAGGCGCTGCCCTGGTCTCGGCTCCAGGAGAACTTTACGTCTTCGTAAGACTTCAGGTTGGTGGCCACGCAGGTGATGCTGGCGTTCTGGCTGAGGTAGAGGTCCTCCAAGGATGGGGGGAGGATGGTGACCTCCACCTTCCGTTGGGTATCTAATTGGGGTTGGGGGAGGGGGGGGAGGGAGCGGCGTTGAGTGGGTAGATCTTGGGGCTCGGCGGATGCCAAATTCGACAGGGCGCCCCAACCCGCCTCCCCCAGGGAGGGGCATAGAGCTTTGGTGCCCCCCAAAACGCTCATCCAATTGGCAGGAGAAATATTTCAAACCCCTGTCCTCTCACCACCCCCACCCCCCCCAAAAATAGAACCTTGCAGCAAATTGGGGTGATTCCCAAGGAAATTTCTACCGTGTGATTTTTTCCTAAGGTTTTTCAGCCCCATCCATCCATTTCCTCAACAATTTCCATCTACTATTTTAGCTCCAAAAGCCACCTTCGCCTCCCCGCCCTTCATTGCCACCACCGTCGCAGTGTTGGACCCTTCTTCTCCAACGTCATTGTGTGGCTTCGTGGGAGGGTTGAGCTGATGGTGTGTTTGGATCGGCACCTATCCATCCAACCATCCATCCATCCAACCATCCATCTCCACCATCCATCCATCTCCACCATCCATCCATCTGTTGGGTCCATCAACCCTTCCATCTCCATAGACTTCACCCACCTGCCCGCCATCCCTCCCTTCCTCCCATCCCACCATCTCTACGTTCTCCAACCAATCAACCAGCCGGTATTCTATCAACCAACCATCCTCCCAGTCAACCAACCACCCGTCCGTGTCCGCGCATGCCAACTGACCAACCACCCAACCGTCTTCGCCGTCTCCGGAGCCAGCCAACCCACTCTTAACTCCCAACCATCCATGACCTCCAGGAAACCATGGCTTCCTCGACCTCACCTGAGCAGAAGGTGCTGATGTTGAGGACGGCGGGTTCTTTCAGTGATGGGTGGGTCACTCGGCAAGAGAACTCAGCCCCCAGGTCCCAGCTCTGCCGGCTGACATTGACTTTGCTCATAAATGTGGGCTTGTGTGGGGAGCAATTGTCACAGGTGTAGTCCTCCTGATCCACTTGCATCACTTCATGGTTCATCAGCCACTGCACCTTGCTACTGGAAGCCTTGGGCCCCTCGATGAGGCACATGAGTAGGACTCTCTTCTGAGGGTCGCTCTGATTTGGGTCGCTCAGAAGCTTTATCACTGGCGGGGTCTTGGGACATACATCATCACCTAGGAGTTGACCGAGATATCACACAAGGCTGGGAGCAATGCCAACCCATCTAGGAGTTGGCCAAGACATCATGGAAGGCTGGGAGCAAAGCTGGAAGCAACGCCAACTCATCTAGGAGTTGGCCAAGACATCACACAAGGCCAGGAGCAATGCCGACCCATCTCGGCGTCTGCCAAGACGGCGTGCAATGCCGAGAGCAATGCCAACCCACCTCGGAATTGGCCAAGACGTCATGTAAGGTTTGGAGCAACACCAAGCCATCTAGGAATTGGCCAAGATGGTGTGCAATGCCAAGAGCAGCGCCAACCCATCTAGAAATTGGCCAAGACGTCATGCAATGCCGAGAGCAACGCCAACCCACCTTGACGTCCACCAAGATGGCGTGCAATGCCAAGAGCAGTGCCAACCCATCTAGAAATTGGCCAAGACGTCATGCAATGCCGAGAGCAATGCCAACCCATCTAGAAATTGGCCAAGACATCGTGCAACACCGAGAGCGCCAACCCCTCTCAGGGTCCGCCAAGACGGCGTGCAATGCCGAGGGTGACTCCCCCGTTGCCTTTCTCACCTTTGATCTCGGTGATGGTGTTTGTGGTGCTGCTGTGGTCCACCTTGCACTGGAAGATATTTCCTTCCAAGCTGCTCACCGGGACGGTGAGTTGGGTGCTGAGACTGTAGTAACTGTTGCTGCTCTGGATGACCGGGAAAGTCTCGTTGTCTCCTTTGACGTTGGAAATCCACGTGACAGTGACGGGTTGGGGGAAGTAGTCGGTGACCAAACAGCCGAAGCTAACCGTGTCCTTGCAATCGCTGCACTGGATCAATGGGTAGACGACGGGACTGTGGGCCTTGACTGCAAAGGAGAAGAATCCCAATTTTTTTTTGGGGGGGG